TCTCTCACCATCTATGTCCTGTTTCCAAGTGCTGTCAGTTTTCATATTTCTCATATATCCTCTTCTTTGACACTTCAGCTGTTGTTGTTTGTCTGTTTTCAAAGAAGACCAATGGCATCATGGGGTGATGTCTTGACTTGTGCATGAATTGGATTTAAGTGAGGCAGAGTTGTACACTTGTCAAGCCTCAGTCTCTCTTCCAGAATCATTGAAATTCAGTAGCAAGACAAAAGTCAGAATGACTGGCCATGGCTCAGGATGCAGTGGATGAACTTGGCATCTTTGATGTCTGACCAAGCTCTAAGCGCCTTCATGGCGATTGGAACAAAGTGTTCTCAACCACCCATTCCATGGGGGAAGTTTGCACATGCTTGGGGTAGACATCCCTATAACTCACCAATGAGTTTGAGGCCTGTTGGTTACTCTCAGCCTGGTTTAACCCATCTACATAGGCAGTTTTACCAGATTGCTGTGCATAGTACAGCTTCTTGGAGCCACAGTTGAGAGTTGGGTGGACACCAAAGGTGGATGAGCAGCCCTGAAAAGGACTTGAAGAGCCTTCACCCCAAAGGTGCTAGTCCTCCCTTATCATTCATGCCACTACCCTGGGGCAGACCTGCTTCCCTCCCCTCTCAACTGACGTAGCCAGATAGTTGGCGTCTCCCTGCCTTGAACTTTTCTCATTCTAGTCCGTCTTCCACTCAGCTGTCATATTGACCATGGTAAAAGGCAGGTCTGACTGCATCACCCTCACCTCAAGATCAAATACAAAGTCCTTTGACATTGAAAACCCTTCCTAATGTGACCCTTTCCTACCTTCCCAGTCATCTTACTCCCCTCTATGTACTCTGTGATACAGTGGCACTGGCCTCTTTGCTATTCCTCAAACAACACTCCCGTCTCCCAGTTGAGTATTTTCACTAGTCCCCCATGCTTGGAACTCTGCCTCCTGGCCTCCCTGGCTTCCTTCAAGTTTTTGCCAAGTCCCCCCCTTCTGCAAGAAGTCTTCCTTAACCTTTGTGCCTTCCTTCTCCAGTTTATTCTGTATGTATCTCGTTTGTGTATAGCTGTTTATATTTGTGACTGTGAGGTCCTTGAGAGCAGGGGCTCTTTTTTGGCATTCAAAGCCCTTCACAACCTAGCCCATTCCCCTCACTTTTCCAGTCTTCTTACATCTTAACCCCCTTAATCCTAAGTACTCTTCTATCCAGTGACACTGGCCTCCCTGCTGTTTTCAGAACAAGATAGACACTCCATTTCTTAGCTGTGGAAATTTTTGTGGCTTCCCGGAATACTCTTCCTCCCCATTTCTGCTTTCCAGCTTCCCTGGTTTCCTTCAAGTCCTGGCTAAAATTCCACCTTCTATAGTAAGTCTTTCCCATTTCCTCTTAATTCAAGTGCCTTCCCTCTATTTATTATTTCCCATTTATCCTGTAAATAGCTTGTTCATATGTATTTGTCTGCATGTTTTCTTCCTCACTACACTGGAAGCTCCTAGAAGGCGGGAACCATCTTTTGCCTTTCTTTGTATCCCTAGCACATAGCATAACGCCAAGCACATAGTAGGTGCTCCGTAAATGCCTGTTGACTGACTAACTGTACCTGACACATGCGTCTCAGTCTTCATCTGTTGACACTCTCCCTCTACCACAGGCCCAATTCAAGTGCCTTTTTTTTTTTTTTAACAGAAGCCCTGCCTATTATTTCATTTATCCATCCTCCATTGAACCTTCCAGAGAATCCAAAGCAACACTCTACCCTTAGAGTATGGTACTCAGTAAGATTGTTGACTTTGGTCCTGTCAGTGATCCTGATATGACTGTTGCTTTTTGAAGTATTTTATTCAGAGTTTAGGAATCAAAAGTTATGATTAGGTGATTTACACTGATGAAAGAATTGGAGCATTTTCCTTCTAGCTCTGGCCTAGATTTGTCCTGCTTCAGTTCTTCAGATCCTGCTTATGGCTTTTGAAGGGATGTCATGTGGAAGAGGGATTAGATTTGTTTTGATTGGTGCCAGATGGCAGAACTGGTAGCTAACCACTGGGCAAGAAGTTTCAAAGGCACAAATTTAGCCCATGACAGAAATTCCTGTTCAGGTATGAGCAAATAAACAAGATAATTTCTCAGTCTCTTTTGAGCTCAGATTGAGTAAATTCCTTAGAACTTATTAATTACTTAATGATACTTGTTACTTAAAAGCCGCTGTCATACCTCAGTGTCAGGAGGTGGCCACAATATTGTTGACAAAGTAACAGAAAAAAAGCAATGCTCTTCCCTTCCCATGGGCTTGCTTCTCTGGTGGCCCTCGACAGAAGGTCGGGTCATGGAACTACATGGTCAAAGGGGCAGGTCCCGGGCCTTAGAGCTCACCTTATATGGATGCTCTGTTACAGAGTCCCTCCATCCTCTAAAATATGGCAGGGAGAAGCCAGGTTTTACAATTGTAGGGCTTTAAAGATATTTCCAGAGTTTTGAAAGGCTATATTCTTTGTTGGTAAATGAGGAAAAGGATGTTAGCTTATCAGATATAGCAATAAGAGAACAGCAAATCTTCTGATTATATAGAACCCAAATAACCAGAAAACTCATAACTTCAATATTTCTCTTTCATTCTATTTGTGTGTATGTGTTAAAAAGATAAGACAATCTTTATTCAAGATGTATTCAGGAAATAGCTTTCAGATAATAGAATAAATACAGATCGAATTATAAAGCACCGTATGTGCAAGGTGCTAGGGCTGCAAAGATAAAAACAACATGATCCCTACCCATGGAGTTTACAATCTAATAGACTGAGAAACTAGCCATACAAATAACTTTAAGACAGGTTACAAAATGATTAAATGAGTGAGAGAGGTCAGATTACACTGAGATTCAAGGAAAGAGGAAACCATTCATCTTTGGGGGCGGGGCACAGTCATGGAGGGGTAGAACCTAAAGTGGATTGTAAAGAACCACCTCCACATCTCTGATGGCTGAAATTCTTCCCTTCTTTCAGGCCCTAGTTCACGTCGTTTTTTAATCTCTTAATATGAATATATTAATATATTGAATTGTAAGGATTGAATGAGTTAACATGTAAAGCTCTTTGTGAACCTTAAAGCACTATATAACTAGTATAACTATATAATGAGTATATAGCTATCATTATTATTATTATTATTGTTATTACTACTACTATTATTTTGTTTCCTAATTTCAACTAATTTAAATTTTAGTTGAAATTAGGAAAGAGAATCCAGGATAAAATTATTATTTACTCACTGGGTATAGGGATTATAGCCCATTCTGTAAATGAAGGTCATGTACTGTTCTGAAGTTTACCTTCCTGGAAGTTTTAGAGAATAAGATAAAAATGATACTTAATATAATTATAGACTATTTGCTGTCTCTGAAGACTTTATAACTTAGACACCCCAGAACTTAGATAGGACCTAAAGGATGAATGGTAGCAGTTAGAAAACCTAAAATGCTGGCTGGGTGAGGACCTGCTGGGTAGGAACAGAAATGAAACCCAAAGTAAGGTCTGGCTGCTGTGTTTACTTACACAGCAGATGTGTATAATTAACCAGTAGCTTCAGTGGTCACTTCCAGATTTCAATACTGCCTTAGCTCCCTGTCTCTTAAATCTAACAAGCATTTATTGATATTTCTTCCTTCCATGTCACACCTTTTTCCAAGTTTTGCAATAGCATACACAATTTCAAATTATACCATTGCATGTATTATGAGTATGCACTAGTGAAGAATCATGTTATGCATATTTTAATGTAAAAATAGTTATTTTATATTGAACTTTAAGGTTTACAAAGCACTTTACAAATATTACCATGTTTTGTCCTCACAACAGCCCTGGGAGGTAGATAGAGGCAGATAAAGGTTAAATGTCTTGCTGAGGGATCACATAGCTATTAAGTGTCTGAGGTCGCATTTAAACTCAAGGCTTCCCTATTTTGGTTAGCTAGGTGGCACAGTGGATCGAGCCTGGACCTGGACCTGGAGTCAAGAAGACCTGAGTTCAAATCTAGCCTCAGACACTGGTTGTGTGACAATAGGCAAGTCACTTAACTCTGTTTGCCTCAGTTTCCTCATCTGTAAAATGGGCTGGAGGAGGAAATGGCAAACCACTCCAGTATCTTTGCCAAGAAAACCTCAAATGGAGGTCACAAAGAGTCGGACATGACTGAACAACAAAGGAAAACTTCCACGTTTCAGGTTCTGTGCTCCATTGGCAGTGCCATCTAGTTGCCTATGTATGTTAAACATCTAAAGACAGACTTTATGATCCTAATTGAAAAGATGTAGTATATCCTAACCAGTCAGTGCTAGAAGAAAATATTTTTCCAACTGTAATATCTTATTTAAAGTTAAATTGAGTGGTATTTAGTTTCCAACATCCTTTCTGTGATTTTTTTCTTATTATCCAATCTAGTCTTAAAAATTAGTTAAAAATTCTACAATTTAAAAAACTTTTTCATTTAAATTGCTTTTGTCAAAAATAAAATTCTGGATGCTACAATGATGCTACAGTGTTTTTTTATTTTGTTTTTCTCAAGAAGAAATAGTAATTGTTTTAGCATTTACTTTTTCAGCTTTATTATTAGGATCAACAATAGCATCTTCCTCTAAAGAATTAATACCAAAATACATTTGATTATTCTTATTAATAAAAAAAATCATCATTAGAAATGTTTGTATAAATTCTCAGCAGGGTCATAAGGTAAATAATAATTTAATTATAGCAGTAGCCCTCCAAATATGATGAGGGGAACTTGGACAAATAATCAAGCATTTATTAAGTGCCTACTATGTGCTAAGCACTAAAGATGCAAAGCAACAAATGTGAATTTGTTGCATTTGTGGTTTGTTCTGTAGGGTTTAGGTTTTTTTTGGGGGGTGTGGTTTTTGTTTTTATTTTTAACTGAGTAATCATTTTGCTTCCTTGCTTTACACACATTCCTCTGACGTACTTGGGAGGGAGGAAGAAAGGGAGAGAGCTAAACTGGCTGTGAAGTATGTGTATATATGAGTGTTAGAGAGAGAGTGAGAGAGAGAGTACACAAGAGAGCTGGTTTGACCAGAAACAGAACTGCCCGTGACAGATTAAGAGACAAGGGAGGCTTGGAATCTGAGTCCAGGCAAAGGAGAGTGGAAATTTACAGCTGCACTGTGAGTGTTCAAGTGATCATTTTCGGCTAACATTTTCCATTGGTAACAGTTGATCTTCAAAAAGACAAAGTCGGGACTGAATTGTGGAACGGCTTTTCTATGCCACGTGTCAGCAATAAAAGACAACATCTATTAAATGGAAGATAAAGACTACTCCATCTGAGGGACTTTGGGACTGGAGAGAGCTGTCTTCAGCACCTCGCCATGTGGCTGTCAGTCTTTGCTTAAGCCCGGATGTTCTTCTGAGGCTGGGTGAGTATCAGTCGGATTAGTTCTTCTTATTTAGATCAGTAAAGATGTACAGTTAACATTATAACTCTTAAAGTTACTGCTTAAATATCCACTTTTAAGATACAATTTGTAGTTACTGTGCAGCAGTTACCTTATTGCCTCTGTGTCTTGTAAACTGCTGTTACTAGGAGAGGTTAAAAAAAAAAAACAACCACCAAACAATACTTCTCTGTTGCCTAAGGCACTTGAATCATGACCAACTATTCTGAGGCCATGGAATATCTTACTTTAGAAATGGGTTTTTATTTACAGAGGGTTTCCAAAAATAAAACAGTTGCAATGTATCATTTTTCATCTTTCTCTCTAGACTGCCTAAAAATGTAGAAATTGATCGTTTTCCTTCAGTCATTTGTAGTTAATTCAAAGCTGATATTAAAATCATGTGATAAAATTCATTGTAAGTGCAAAAATTACAGTAAAACATTGCCTCAGAATTTAAATAAGTCACATAACAATGCTGGTACCAGTAGGAAAGTAGCAATATTATTTAAATGCTAAATGATTGTTAGACCCATGAGAAATGCCATATAACAACTCATATAATAGTCACTAAAGTTATATACATCATTTTTTCAGTTACACACTACAAAGCCAAGATAATAAACAATTTCAGTGGTCTCTTGTTTTTCTGCCAAGTCTCATCTGGGGTCTCACCTACATCTTAGCTTCATGTTTGTACCTTCCATAAGTATTAGTATTACCATGTGAGGACAGTTATGCATTTATAAGAAAATGGCAGCAAAGAAAGTTAGGAAATCTTAAAACATTTACCTGAATTCCAATAAATCTTTGTCTATTTATGCATGTTTAAAATAGGAAATTATATGTTAACATTATGTATCTTTTAAAAGGCATGGATGAATAAATATAGCATGCAGTCTTTCTGTTGGGGAAGAAAGGAAGTGTATGTTCTTAGCTGTTAAAACTGAGTCATTAAATAAAGATGTTCTGTGCTAGGCAAAAGGCTAATCAATTCTCTGCCAGTTCTGTCATGGAATCATAGAGTTTGCAAGAAACATTATTTAGGTATGGATTCAAGAGGAACTTTAAAGAAAGAGAGAGCTATTTAGCTATCAAAGTTGGATGGTATTTTCATAAGCCTATTAAAAGTAGTTTGACTAATATAACTTGCTTGTACTTTTAATATTTCTTTATGCATACAAGAAGAAGCCTATAAAATAGGCTGTTGTTATTATTGTTGTTGTTGGATTTGTGGTTTTTTGTTGTTTTTTTTTCCCCACCTGCTGATGATATAAGAAACTCATCTGGTTTTTGGATTTGGGGCGAGGGGGGGGGTCATAGCTTTCACTAAAAGTTAAAAGTAAATAAATGAGTGATATTATCACAAAAGTATTCTCACTTCCTTGAAGCGTTTCCCACACATGCCCCTTCTTTAGACTGGCCATAAACTTGCCATATACCTTCATAGTTTTCAAAATATTTCCTTATATTTTGAACTGCTAATTTGCTGATGTTAAATTAGTATATTTCCAGTACTACAAGCTTTTACATATTTAGATTTTGAGAATTCTAAGCATTTTCCTAATTTATCAATGTATTATATCCTGAAAATTCATTTATAAGTTGGATTTTGGAAACTCAAAATGTCATTTCCATTAGACACATGAATAGTGGTTAAGTATCTAGGCTGCCATGCAAAGACCAATTTAATCCATAATATGACAGAAATACTGCAGATTTGTAAAGAAAAATTGTACAAAATAGTATTCTTGCAGCTCAGATAATTAAATAAAACAAAAGTAGAGTTAAAGGAGAAAACATTTTTATTTCTTACAAATGCTGGTGTTTGAAGGAAAGTAATTTTAGAAGAAGATAAAAAGAGAATGGAAATACTTGTTATGCCTATTTCCACCTAAAATTAATGTCAAATCACAAACATTATTCCTAGGCTTATAAGCCATGATTAGGGTCATTTTGGGCTCATAAATGGATCAAAGAAAAAAGAAAAGGAAATTTTCCTGAGGTAACAGAGTAAGTGTTAGGAGAGAGGAAAGTGTTAAAGTAAGATTTATATGAGAGGGAGTTCACCTGAGGTAGAATTAACTAAGGTGGGAGATTTCAAAGAAGGAAAAGGAAAAGGGTGGTCTAAGAGGAGAGTGGGGCTTAAACTGTGAGGTAAGGCAGTTCTCCACCCTGGCCTGGAAGTGGCACTAGCAGGCCAGGACAGCTGGGTTGTGACCTTGGAGTAGAGGGAAGATCAACTGGCTGTCGTTGTGTATAGAAAACATCTGTCCATCAGGTATTGGGCAACTTGGGTTATACTTCTTGGTGTTTACCATGTATTTGTTATATGTGTTTACATACATATATGCATAAATATAATATACATATACACAGATATCTTTAGATATGGGCATACATATAGTTATTGTCAATATGTGAACATGTAGCTGTTTATCTAGACATTTCCATATTTAGCAGGCCCAAATGCAGAGAACCATTAATGTTTTTGAAAATTAATTGAAGTGTTTGTATATTGAAAGGTGAAATTAGCAATCCAAATGTCAAATTAACTCAGTTTTAGCTCTATCTTCCTCTCTATCTCAACCCCTGCCCTTATTTTTTTTTTGGGGGGGTAATATCCATTCAAACATCATTTCCACCTGCTCTGTTACTGTACCTTAGCCATACTTAGGGATAGTCACAACCTTGATCTCACCATTACTCAAATTGTTCTATTTCCATGATCAATTCTTTTCAATTAATCAAATAAATCAATGGAATTCTTTAATCCAATCATAACCTTCTATTATTCCATCTTTTCCCCTAACCTGTTTGCAATGTGCTCTTCACCCCTCAGTACTTCCCACAGTACCCCTACTCTGACCAGTCTTGATCTAATAGTTAAATGAGTCACATTATACTCTCCCTTTCTCTTAAATCCACCCTTGACACATACCCGTCCTTTTTCAACTCCTACTGAAGTTTTGCCAAACCTCAGTTTTGGATTGCTTCCAAAATCTACCTCCTCCTCCTTTTCCTGTTCATGTGTAGCTGAATAGGGATGGAGGATGTCACGGATCTGTGTTGAGCAAGCTACTACAAATTTAGGTTATCCAATCTCAATTGCAGCAAGGCAGTTCTCTTTCTTCTCTCCAATTGACTCCCCATAATGGCTATTTCAAGCCTTTTCTTCTTTCTTCAAGCTTCCTGTACTACCTGTTTCCTCCTCTTTCCCGTTGAGCTGAGGATCTCAGTTAATACTTTATTGAGAAAATAGATAGAGGCCTTTTACCATCAATGTTCTCTTCGTCCCTTCCCCATCCTTGACATCGTTCCTTTTTCTATCCTTTACCCCCATTTCTGACAAAGAGATAGTAGCTCTTCTCATGAAGGTCCCTCTTGATTCCTTCCCCTCCCATCCCCTCTGGCAGATTATTTAGGACAGTCATCTTTTCCTTTTTTACTGGCTCGAACCCTGGAGTCTACAAATAAGCCTATTTCTCCCCACCCTTAAAAAACCTCCTATTTCATCTTACTATTTCCTCAAGCTATCCTTCTACATCTCTCTTTGCTGTTCATAGCCAGACTTCTAGAAAAAAAAAAACCTATTTGGCTCTACTTGGCTCCCATCTTTCTCTTTTTGGATATTTTCCCTCCTGACTAATTGCTTCTTCCCAGTCTTCTTTGCTGGATCATCATACACATCCCACCCCCTCCCTGTGAGTGTACCTACTAGGCCAAGTCTTAAGTCCATTAGATTGTGAGCTTCTTGAGGGCTGGATATGTCTTTTGCCTCTTTTTGTATGCCCAGTACTTAGCATAGTGCCTAATAGGTCTTAATAAATATTTATTGATTATTGACTGTATATTTTGTATATACTTCTACTTTATATACTTGTACATAAATAAATACACTTACTCCCATACAATGCAGAAAGTATGTCTCTCCCCACTTTGCCCCCTCCCCAGTATATAAGCTGCTTGAGGGCAAGAATTGTTTACCTTTTTATTTATTTATTTAAAATGTTAATTGATTATTAAAGAAAACCAATGATTTAGAAAGCACTTGTTAAACACTGAGGATTTTAGAAATTAGCTTTAATTACTAGGTAGAAAATTCCCACTTAGGGACATTTTTTTCCATGTTTTTGTAGCTTTTATCATTTTAAAAATCTTAGATGTTCTTTATAGCGGAGGGGCCCATTCGGGTGTTTGTAGATAGGTATAGTCACGTGCAAGTGACTAAATTTCCATACCTGACCTGGGTGTATATGCGTCTAATCACTGAAGAGACAGATACATATATACATACATACATACACATACACACACATAAACACATATACATAATGTTGTTCAATTGGTTCAGTTGTGTCTGACTCTTTGTGACTCCATTTAGGGTTTTCTTGGCAAAGATACTACAGTGGTTTGTCATTTCCTTCTCTGCAGCTCATTTTTACAGATGAGGAAACTGAGGCAAACAGGGTTAAGTGACTTGTCCAGGATCACATAGCTAGTAAGTATCTGAGACCAGATTTGAACTTGAGTCTTCCTGACTCTTGCCCCAATACTCTATCCACTGTGTCATCTAGCTGCCCCATATATACATATACATACACACATGTATATGACTAAAGACTGAGCTTAGGCTCTTTTTTTTTTCTCTTTTTTTGGTGAGGCAGTTGGGGTTAAGTGACTTGCCCAGAGTCACACAGTTAATGAGTGTTATGTGTGAGCTTAGATTTACGCCCCCAAATAGGAAACAGCCATTAGTAAGTGCAGTAGTTAAAGGCATATTTTCAATTTTTCTTTTGACCAAAACCATTATAAATTGTTCCTTATTCTCTAATAATTCCTAATTATTACAGTTAAGGCAGAATATTAGTACAAACAAACAAGTATTTAAAATAAACAATTGAAGCATACATAAAACCATAATTAAGTTGCTAATTCTGTCTTTATGAGATCTTAACACAAGTTGAGATGTTAGCCCTGAT